TATTCGTTTTGCTTGTATTAATGCTGCCTGTCCCACAGAGACATTGCAGAAGTATTACTACCAGCAATGCTAAAGGTAGAACATATATATGATGCCCATTATTAGTAGCATATAACTACAGCTAAACGATATAAACAGCAACCCTTCACCTGAATTTCACCTGCAGCGCCTGGGAGCATCCCAAGAATCAGCATCCCCAAAGAGCTGCTTTTAAACCAGCTGAGCTCCTGAGCTGCGCCAGCTGCAGGAAAACACAACACTTTACAAGCATTAAACCTTTGTAAGGAAACGGCTTATCCGACCATATCAAAACAGAAGCCAGGTGAATGGTCTGGGAGATAACGCACGCGCCGCGGTGCACCAGTACTTACTTTCACAGGGACATAATGCGATGAGCCGCTTCAGATGCTCGCAAACATATTCGGACGCACGACTTAGTAAGCGCTTCTTCATCAGGCGCGCACCATAACGGGAATGTACACAGAAGTAGACATGCGAAGTCATTTGACCTTCTCCCAATAGGAACTACCATCGGTGACACGTAGGATAGGGGAGGAACGGACCATACCAAGCAGGCGTCCCAGCAAGGCGAGGGGGAGAGGAGGGAGGGTTTGTCATCCTGGGAAGTATCTCTATTCAGTGGAAGAAGTACTCATATTCATCAGTTAGTATAATCAGTATGATGAGATGATTTAGCGGCAAGTAAAAGTATCATCAAACCTATGAAGTAGTAGGTAAAATAAACATACTTGATAAGGAAACATTGTGTTGTACCTCAGAGTGGTTTTTCTAGTTGATATGATATTAGTAGGACAGTAGGGAGAGAGTAGAAGCCATTTATCATAGTGTGTCATGTCGTCTGGACCATCATGACCAGAGTGGCTTAACAAGATAACACTGACACATCATCTTAGTAAGTGCCAGCAGACAGGGGGCCCTGGCTGTCCTGTTGCCACTGAGTATATTTAACTATGCCAGGCCTGCATTTTGCCCTTGTAATGGTGTCTATGAAATCATGGAATGTGCATTTTAGGATAGGTTTGGTTTGGAAAATGGTGCTGCTTGTTAGGGAGACCTGAAGATTTATGATGACATAGTCTGATCTTTGTGGCCAAATGATGGGTCAAACATCATTAAACTTGAAATCTGAGCTTCCATAGCTCACCCATTCTTTGGCACATTTCATTGTGTATTGTTAACTGACAGAGAAGTGTAGTTGAGTGAAAAGTACAATGTTACTTTGTGAAATGGAGTAGAAACAGAAAGTAGTACAAGTACTTTTTATATAAATATATTACTTGAGCAATTGTACTTTCTTTCTACCTCTGTTGAAAGTTCAATCAAAAAGAAATAAAAAATAAATGGTTTTCTTGCAATATGAACTCAGTGTTCGCTTACACAGTCAACTCATAACTGCTATAAGCCCCTGCGTGACTATTAAACAAATAGTTAACACTCATGGCAAAAAGAAAAATAAATCAACAATAAACCATAGTGAGGTTACTAGAAAATACAGACTCTTTAGTAGGCACATCAAACACAGTGTATTGCTATATAATAAGATAAGGTTATATTGTAAGTTTAATAACTAAAACAGTGTTAGTCCCAAAAGAACCTTTAAAAATATTTAATATACAAACTAAGACAATTAAGTGAACAATTCAGGCAAACAAACATCAACAACAAAGGCAACCAAAACAAAAACAAAACACAACAAATATTCCAACCCTTCCTCCAACCTAGACAATTAAATGTAATTTATCAATGAATTTCATTTTCAGTTGTATTTTGTGGCATTCATGTGGACGGCAAAGTAAGAATTTCATTGTACAGGGAAGCACGTTTCCTAACTGTGCATATGACAAATAAACACTTTGACCTTTGACCTTGAATTGTTCTCAGTAAGGAAATAATTAATAAGACTCAATTAATTCATAAATCTATTATGTCCTAACATACAGTATATGTACTAATACATAACATTATCTGTATTACTGTCTTGGTTATTTTTAACCAACAAATTATGTAGGTAACTTTTGATTTTTCCCCATTTTGTATTAAACACATCTAACTCATTGTTAATGCTATGAGCCTTTTTTTTTTTTCAAATTTAACAATTAAAACAAATTCAGTTGTTCAGTCATTAATATTTTAGAAACATTTCACTATCCAATATTTTAATATAACCTTTTGGACAGAATCAACACCACATCTCTTTCATCTGTACTTAAATCATTAGATGTCTCCCTCTGTATGCACAGTTTTGGACAAAAAACAATTGTAATATTCAAATGTTCAAAAATTTGACAAAAAAGACTCTTCCCAAAAATTTTTATACATTCCCACGGTACTCATCATAGTATCTTTGTGAGTTTTACATTTCCCACATCTCTCTATTGATAACCATTTTATTTTCAGGAGTAGAGTCAATTTAATATTTTAAATGGTAACAGTATTTGCAATAAATCTAAATGGCTTTCTGGCATTTTTTCTATATAATAGTCCAACAAAAATTTAATGTGACAACACTAAATATAAAAGTAATTCACTTGGCCCACAGGGATGTCATACATTCTATCAGAATATTGTAGTTACAGTGTTGAGATATAATACACAAAGCTGTACTGATTCTGCGTTATGAATATGGACATACAGTAAATACAGCACCTTCGGTTCACAAATTGTACACTAGTAGTTCATTGAAAGGCTTCTAGAAGCATTACGACATCCTTTAATGTAGCTCCATCAGCTAACACTGTTAATGAGGAAAATTCTCTCTGTGAAAGTGTAGGACTACAAAATAACAGTAAAGTCCTGGCAGCGATGAACTGAAACCACTTAGGCTTTTTGCTTTACATTATGTTTGTGGCCATGGGGTGACAGAACCTCATATATAGCACTGCTTCCTTTCTAGTGGATCTCTCTCGTGATGAGCTGAGGCTCATGATCAAATGCCTCTCTAGCCACACTGACATCACCAGGACTTTGTGCCCACTCAGTTGGAAACTGCATTTCTCAAGTATAAATGAAGACTTGTTACTGTACTGATTGATGGCGCACTTCAGCAGTGAGGGGCTAAAATCGATGAACGCTGCATGGAACCTGAAGACTGATGCCTGTGATACCTGCAGTCCTGGACACCCCTGAGCTCACTCATAAATAAATAAAGGAGACAGTGCATTTCCTGACAAATAAAGGCCCTCCGTATACCTTATCACACTGAATCATAGAATAAAATACTGTAGATGCACAATATATAGTCGTGTCTTTCATGGAACAACAAATCCATTCATTAGAAATTAGTTTAAGAACACTTCACTGCAGCAATAACGTTAAGTGTATGTAAGTGTTTTATATTTCTCAGACCTATTATAAAACTATAAATGGATGGGCGCAAATTAGTTTGCTGGTGGACACCACAAGGCATTTGTGCAACAGCCCTGACAATCACTTTAGCCCTATAATGTATTTTTTCAATTTCTTTACTTAAATATAATTTTGAGGCACTGTATTTGTACTTGAGTGTTTTCATTTTATCCTCCTTTATACTAGTGCTTTTACTTTGATACTTTAAGTACATTTTGTGATACTTCTGTACTTTTACATTGAGTAAAATTACTTCAGTAAAGGATTTGAAAGCCTCTTCTACCATAGCCCTTTCAGACCAAATAGATCCAGGTAGGAGACACTGGTGTTTCCACCATATCTGAACCTTAACCCCCCCCTCACCATACTTGGCAGCACTGTATCAGCAGTAAAGTCCTTCAAGTTCCTGGGCTCCACTATCTCCCAGGACCTGAAGTGGACGTCCAACATCAGGACCATCACCAAGAAGGCACAGTAGAGGATGTACTTCCTGCACCAGCACAGGAAGTTCAACCTGCCCCAGGAGCTGCTGATACAGTTCTACAGAGGAATCATCGAGTCTGTTCTCTGCACCTCCATCACTGTCTGGTTTGGCTCAGCAACCAAACAGGACAAGTACAGATTTCAGCGGACAGTGAGGACTGCAGAAAAGGTCATTGGTGAGAGCCTGCCCTCCATGGAGGACCTGTACTCCTCATGTGTCATAAAGAGGATGGAGAGGATCACTGCAGACCCCTCACACCCTGGACACAATCTGTTTGAACTCCATCCCTCTGGACAGTGTTACAGGTCACTGTGCGTCGAGACAACAAGGATAGTTTCTTCCCCCGAGCCGTCACTCTGATTAACACCTAACCCACGAGAGAATGACTGGACAATAACCCTCAGTGCAATACCTGTAAATATACCTCATACAGATTATACAGATCCGTACAGGTCTCTATCTCTAAGTACTCTATTTTTTATTCTTATTTTTATCTCATTTCTTAATGAAAATTCCTTTGTCTGTTTGCATTGGTTATTGCTTTGTTTATACTGTTTATTTTGCTATACTATACAGCCTTATATTGGTATATAGTTTATTTGCCCTTTCCTATTGCCTTACATAAGGATATGTACATACATATTGAGAGCCCCTGTACCAGAGTCAAATTCCTCGTGTCCAACACACCCGGCGAATAAAGCTGATTCTGATTCTGAAGAAATGTGACAATTAGCCAAATGACAGATTACCAACTACATTTAATTTAGTGTGCTAGGACACTAACATTAGTTAATTAGCAGTAAACACAAAGTACATGTGAGGCTGGATCTGCTAGAGATCATTAGAGAATATAGGCTTTATCATCTGGGGCCATGGAAATCTGCACAAAATTTCATAGCAATCCATCCAACATCTGTGCTGATATTTTATTCTGTACCAAAGTGGTGCATCAACAGACAAACTGTCAGACCAGCTGACCAACACCACTGAACCACATGGCTTAAAACCATAGCTACTTTTCAACACAGTAGTTTTCCTTTGAGCTGGGGCTGTAACATCATATAACCATTCAGCCAGGTGGATTTAATAAAAGCAAGCTGACATGCTGTGAGATGTGAATGCCAAAGCAGCATTTGGCCATGCCCTTTGGTGATAAAGATAGCCTGGTGCGGAAATGTCACTCAGTTAACCTGTTCTATGTGACAAAACAGATAAGACAAACAGGAAATGGCTTTTTATCCAGCATGCCATGCTATCTCAATTATGATTTGATTTAAGCTACATGAAGGAACATCTCCAGTGTGCGTGCATCAGTGCCTTTGTATTGCTTACATTATGGGGACCGAAACCTGTTAACACACTCACATTGTGGGCACTTGGGAAATCACTGAATTTTAGGGTGGCAACATGGTTTAAGGTTAGGGTGAAGTTAGGTGTTAGGTTAAGCGTTAGGTTAGGGGAATTCTTCAACTCTCCCCGTAATCGTCCATTGACTATCTATCCATTGGGATAGAGGGTCAAAGGTGAGGGCACGGGCCGACGCTTGTCACTCTGGCTCATGTAACGGTGTGCTACCCTGGGTTTTGGTGGGGTGATCGTGCTTTCCTGTCCGGTGTAGTTTTATTTATGTGCTGTGGTTTGTGTTTAGGCTAGTGGTTAAGGCACTAAGCTGCTTCACCACAGGACCACTGGGTTTGGGGATTGCCACCACAACAGGCCTTTACAGAAGTGAATACAATTGTAAGCTGCTTCACCACAGGCCTATTGATCGCCTTTCACTACAGAATAGTATCGACCACCCATGGGTGCGTGCTAACTCTCATCGGCTCCTACCTCCCTCCTACCCCTCCAAGAAATCCTGAGCCCACTTGGCCAACCTGCTCGCTTCCCTCTGAGGGGGGTTTAATTAATCTGTCCACCACAATAGACTCTAGGCCAGCATGTTTGTTACACGGCCAAGTGCTTCAAACCGCCATTATTCTGTCATATTTTACACCCTCTTTTATGTTGTACAGTGTGATGTCATTATCTATGTATAGTACTTTGGCTAGAGGCCTCTGTGTTTGTCTTTTCGCTCCCTTCGCTGCGGCCCAGGTTCAAATCAGGGTTGTGTCAGGAAGGTGCATCCGGCGTAAAACACATGCCAAATGTCAACATGTGAGTCGTCAGTGTGACGATTCGCTGTGGCGACCCCTAAAAACGGGAAAAGCCGAAAGTGACTTTCTTTTCTGTGGGTTGTGTTTGCTTTGTTAAAATTGGGTGCTGGATCAGCTGATGTTTCCATTTTAGGGTGTTACGTTCCGATGGGGAGTTTTGTATTTGAGCTTAGAACTTGTTTAAGTGTGTGTGCGCATGCGTGTGTGCGTGTCTGTGGGTGGTTGTGGGGGGGTGGTTATATTTTGTTTTGGGGTCATGGGTTAAGGTTAGGCATTGGGCTTGGGAAGGTTATGGTCAGGGCAAAGGTACGGGTTGGGTTTAAAAGCTTGTGTCTAAGGAAGGGGTTAAGGTTAGGTATTAGCCCTGGGGTGGTTGTGGTCAGGGCAAGGACATGGGTTGGGTCTAAAAAGGACTTTTCGTCCAAGAATAGGGGTTAGGGTTGATGTGTGGTTTGGGTTTAAGGGGAGAGGGATTGGGGTCTGGGTCCTCGGTTAGGGTTAGGGTTAGGCAAGTAGTAGTTATGGTTAAGGTTATGATACATCTACAGGAAATGAATGTAAGTCAATGTAATGTCCCCACACGGAATAAAAACACAGCGTGTGTGCCTCTGTGTGTGTGTGTGTGTGTGTGTGTGTGTTTTTAAGAAATCAATTTTCAGGGTTTGAGATCAAGTAAAGAGTAAAAGTGAGTAGTACTGCCTCAGAAAGAAGTGAAAGTGGATAGGGAGAAAGAGGAGCAGAGGCATGTGAGAAATGTTAAAATAACAGGTTATTATTTGCACTCAGACTCTGTTCTACTCACTGTTGTTAGTGGCTACCCCTTCCTATATTTGTTGTTTGGGAAAGCTTGTATCAAGGAATGAAATGCCTTGTCTGGGTCTGTGCTAAATGTCAAAGATGGTGTCAAGGTGACCTGGCACTGAAGGAATGGCCCTTCATCTCTGTGCACCAGGAGTGTAAAGAGGTTACCTGTGGCTTGAGGGCAGATGCTGTTTATGAGCAATATCTAATTAGAATAGCAAAGTGTACAATGGAATAACCTGCAAAGAGCATGCTCTTCTTGTTCTGTGGGTGCTGAAGGACACAGTAACATCATGTTAACTCTAAACAAACAGAACTACAGTGTTCTTTTCGTTAATTTTTGCAGTTCCACTTACAAACATCATCACAGAAGTATACAGTAGCTATAAGTATTATTATTCCTCTATTTCAGGGATTACATTGACACCAAACGATTATTTTGGGTGACTGTGGTTCATTGGGTAGAGCAGTCATCTCCCAACTGAAGGGTTGGAGGTTCAAATCTCAGTGCCTGCAGTCCACATGTCAAAGTGTCCATGGGCAAGACACTGAACCCGATGGTTAGAGCCATCGGTGTGAGTTGGCGCCGCAGATGGCTGCCTCGGTTCTGTACTGGAAACAAATTCTGTGTGTGTGTGGAAGACTTGGCAAAATAAAGGTGACTTTTATTTTTTTAATAATACCAGTCATTATATTTAATATAACAGAAGTTCAAACACACTTAAATTTGTCAAAGTAATACTATAAGAATGTTATAAATCTTTTCATCAGGATCTTATTACAAGAAAATAGAGTGAACATGAAAGCATCACAGGTCATATCTGGCAATCTCAGGGTTCAATCACTGCTGGAGTCTGTGGGCTTGATTTAAAGCTTTATCAACAATTAGAAGTGTGTGAAGCCTTGAACGTGGTTCTGCTAATCCAAGAAAACTATGAACTAGTCAATCAATGACACTGTGCATCATCAGAGTTTTTCCTTCTGTTTCTCTGTGTTATTACAGTAAGTCTCAAATTTTGATGAAATAAGCTGCCTTTGATTTCCCAGAGGAGGCAGACAGGAAAAGACCTGTGTTCTGTGTACTGCTGTTCTCACAGGACTGGCCACATAAATGTCACAGGCCGAGTGACTTGTTTGAATGGCATCTGAAAAAATGTAGAGGGAGGCTGCAATTGTCTGATTAAATGATCTTTCTCTCAGTCCTAATTATGGTGAGCTGGAACAGAGGCAAGACGCTGAGGAGGCCCTGCATAATTAGCTTTAATCAACCCTGGACACCCTGAAACAAAAACCACAAAAACCACACAACAAACACACACACACACACACACACACACACACACACACACACACACACACACACACACACACACACACAGCCCAACAGTGAGGCTGTACCCAACATTCATCATTTTGGTCCATCCTGGCTCTTTAATTACTGCAGTGAATTCCCTACATGGCTCCATTCACCAATCACCTAGTACATAACATTTCTTGTTGAGAAATGGTCAAGGTACTTTGCCTTTATTCTCACTGTGGTGAATCTGACATGTAGGGGAAATACACAGCCTAAAATTATGAATGAAAACAAAAAGGTTTCATAGTCCCTTAATAATGATATGGTTCTGATGTCATGGATTTTCTGAAAATTGAATCTTTTCCTAAAACCAAAAAGCTTTATTACGCAGTGTCTCTTTGGTGTGTGAAATGTAGAATATGACTACAGACAAGGAGCACAGCCAACCTGTAGGCCCAGTTCATGACAAGTGATGCGTTGAAGTCTATGTGAATGATGCTGAATATTATCAGTATTGGTGTCACAGTCACTAAGTGACGCAAACCAACCCTCTTTGGCATGCTATGTAGGTACGCCTGCATAAAAGCTGCAATTTGCATATATTACTTGTCTGAACAGCAGCTGTCCTGTCCACCATAAATGTGCGATTGTGTTGTACAGGATGAGCATTTGATTGGCTGTAGGACATGAAACACTAAACCCTATTACTGACTGTATTAATGTGTTTGGTTTTATCAAGAAGTAGTCTAAGGTTTCCATATGTTTAGTCATTGACCTCTAGTTTGTATTAGGGTCATATTTCACGTGAATGTGTGAGATATTGATACACATCTGGTGATTATGAGTCTATTTAATGTTAATACTGCTCCCTTTGCTGGGGTGTGCAATACTATATGTGAATTAAAGACAGGAGTTGCGGGATACATCGACCCCTGCAGGCTAATAGTTGTATAACTACCATTCGTGATGCACCAGATAGGTTAAACAAGACAAAATAAATAAGTAAGTGCATATAATGTATACCCTAAATAGCACAAATAGAATAATAACAATAAAAATAATAATGTTTTTTTTTGACGAGCATAAGTTAACAACTGTAGGTTTGTCAAGACAATTTATAAACTTTGTTTTGCCAGTCATATTATTGAAATGAGGTCAATAACACACACTAAACTGGAAATGGACAGTAAAGTAGGATTAACACGATCGCTCTCCGCGAGAGCGCAAGAGATCACTGTACTGTGTAGTGCAACGTTCAAGGGAAAGTTTGTCTCTTGTCGGCTTCTGTATCTCCAGGAAGTTGCTGCAGAATGGATGGAAGTTAATTCTCTACATTGATTTTGTAACATTACAGTTTTCAAGATTATTTCAAGATGCGTAGAAGAACAGAAGCTCAAACACCAAGCAATGAATTTGGCAAAGCTGATAAAAAGGTAAAGAACCGTTAACGACAGCCATCCGCCAACTAGCATTAGCAGACTGACTACAAAAGCTAACAGGTTCATCTGTCTTCGTTGAAATCAGCGGCTGTATGTCTGCTGCTGACGTTTCCCTGCTTTCATACTGATATTACTGTCCGTAGTTTAACGCAATGCGGGGCGGTTGTGTACATAGAAAAGTTAGTTTCCCTTAAATAAATAGCAATTTTAGCCACCTTTTGCTGATTTATGCTTTTTTCACTTTCAGCCTTATTATAAATTATTTAAACAACGAATTATCCTCTGCTCTTTCATTCTTACAAGCAGTGAAAAATACCTGCCTATTACTTGGAAAAGGGTCAGATCTTATACTAGAACACACTTTTGTTAACCCTGGTGTCCTTAGTTAGCTTTTAACTTTTGGGGTTTGATAATAATCAAGTGTTATTGCAAGGCATGGAATCAGCACTTCTTCTTCTTCTTCTTCTTCTTCTTCTTCTTCTTCTTTCGGCATGGCTAAAATGATAACATAAACATAGCTGGTTAAAAGTTTATATAGACAGTCCTTTGAATTTTTTTAAAATTTATTTGTCAAGCTTTAGTTATCAGTTAACTTCACACAAACTACAGTAAACAAAAAAATTGTCACACCAGTACTTGCTGTGACAA